AATGGGAAATAATTCAATTTTTAGAGTTAAGTGTTCTCCGTATATGCACCAAAATCTTTTAATAGCTAACAAATGATTTCATAAAACTGAAAAGCCAGAATATCTTAAGAAGTAAGCACTACCTCCAACACTGAATATATGAAAAAGCATTGAATTAGACGGTCTAAATGGGTGAATTTTATAGTATGTGACTTATATCTCAAGTTGTTTAAAAATACAAGAAAAATAAAAAAAAGAAAGACAAGAACCACAGTCACTACCATGATTCTCTGTTGTGATCCACACTTTTTATAGCCTTTTTATGGAGAAAAGGAATTTGCTTCTCTCCAGAGGTCCTAGGTGATATTTTATGCTTGAATTGCATATCAATGTGTGTTTTTGCTCAGCATACTCTTGAAATAATATTAACCTGTAAGAAAAAAATACAAAGATCTACATACGACTTTAAAGTTATTAATATTTATTATTTGTAAAGTATTTTTATATCCAACTTTCCCGTAGAGTTGGGGAAATAGATGGGGAAACAATGGAAACAGTGAGAGGCTTTATTTTCTTGGGCTCCAAAATCACTACAGCTGGTGACTGCACCCATGAAGTTAAAAGATGGTTGCTCCTTGGAAGAAAAGTTATGACCTATGTAGATAGCATGTTAAAAAGCAGAGGTGTTACTTTGCTGACAAAGGTCCATCTAGTCAAAGCTATGGTTTTTCCAGTAGTCTTGTATGTATGTGAGAGTTAGACCATATAAAAAGCTGAGTACTAAAGAATTGATGCTTTTAAACTGTGGTGTTGGAGAAGACTCTTGAGAGTCCCTTGGACTGCAAGGAGATCCAGCGAGTCCATCCCAAGGGAGATCAGTCCTGAATATTCATTGGAAGGACTGAAGCTCCAATACTTTGGCCACCTGATGCGAAGAGCTGACTCATTTGAAAAGACCCTGATGCTGGGAAAGATTGAAGGCGGGAGGAGAAGGGGACGACAGAGGACGAGATGGTTTGATGGCATCACTGACTCAATGGACATGAGTTTGAGCAAGCTCCAGAAGTTGGTGATGGACAGGGAAGCCTGGCGTGCTGCCATCCATGGGATCCCTGAGTTGGGCAAGACTGAGCAACTGAGCTGAACTTCCCATAGAGTTAATATCTTCCATATTTTGCAAATGATGCAACTTTCTGCCTCTGTTTCTAACTGCCAGTTACCACACACATACCTACTTTTCCTCATATAGCACAGATTGCCAGGGCTAGGAATACTGAAAACTTAAATCATTTGGCTCTGCAATATTAGTGTTGGATTAAAACCAAATGCAAGTGGCAAAATAACACATGGTGAAAGCATGGGCTATGCTTCTCTGATGACAGACAGAGTCGAATTAATTCTTTGAGAGGAGGTGTGAATACACATGTATAATGATACTTTAACACAACTGTGAGCAAAATATTTTGTCACATTCCCCTGTGTTGTTAGCTTTGGTCTGCCATCTGCCATTCTTGCATTGACGGGCTTAGAGCACCCATGAAGAGCAGGGACTTGCAAGAGGCTACAGAGTTTCTACTGAAAGATAAATTAGATCCTTGGGTTTCTGTTGTTTTTTTCCTGTGTATCTGCTGAGGAGTGATTTCTTTCTCTAGAGCTCATTACAGTACATCAAGCATTTCTTTTTTGGTGTTGTGTATATGAAATACTTGTGAATTTCAATTTTTTAATCTGTCCTGATTCATGGAATTCCTTTTGTTTTACCTAATTTTTACTGCTTATGAATCTAAATTTATCAGGAAAAGTTAATTTCAGTATACTCAATTTAAGAATGCAGGAAAGTGTGTAATAAAAATTATACAGATTTCCATGTAATTTAATTAAGATTTTAAAGTCTCAGCACATGAAGGTTAATGATCAGAAATATTAAATCATATGGAAACACACTGCATTTCTAGACATTGCCAGTGGGCTCTTCCTGCAAAGTGTATGGATGTCCTCTTTTAGTTGCTAAAAGATGAAAAGCATAAAAAGAGTATGAGTGATTGGTTTTTTTTTTTCCATTTATTTTTATTAGTTGGAGGCTAATTTCTTTACATCATTGCATGAGTGATTGTTTTTAAGTGAGTGATGTGAAACTTAGATGCCCAGTAATCCAAACCAAAACAGCTCTTAACTCTGTGAAAAGATCAAACTTTTGTCATAAGCATGTATTGTATATTCCCTCTAAATCAGTTCAGTTGCTCAGTCATGTCCGACTCTTTGCGACCCCATGAACCGCAGCACGCCAGGCCTCCCTGTCCATCACGAACTCTCGGAGTCTACCCAAACCCATGTCCACTGAGTCGATGATGCCATCCAACCATCTCATCCTCTGTCGTCCCCTTCTCCTCCTGCGCTCAATCTTTCCCAGCATCAGGGTCTTTTCAAGTGAGTCAGCTCTTCACATCAGGTAGCCAAAGGATTGGAGTTTCAGCTTCAACATCAGTCCTTCCAATGAACACCCAGGACTGATCTCCTTTAGGATGGACTGGTTGGATCTCCTTGCAGTCCAAGGGACTTTCAAGAGTCTTCAAGAGTCTTCTCCAACATCACAGTTCTAAAGCAGTTCCCTCTAAAGCAGTCTGTATGTAATCTTTGCCCTAAATTAGCGTTAATTAACCTAGCAAGCTTATTCTGTACAGATGAGAGCCAGTAACCCTTCCTACGTCTCAGCTGTGACAACCAAAAATGGTTCCGGATATTGCCAAATGTTCTTGGGGTGGTGGGCAAAATCACCCCTGGTTGAGAACTGCTGCTCTAAATATATTAGAGAATGGGAGAAATGATGCAGATTGATAAGACTCTGGAAGAGAGTAGGGTGGAACTCAAAGTGTTGTTTTGGTTATTTTAAGGACTAAAGATCAAAATTTTGAATTTATTTTATGTTTTTAATTAATTTTTATTAGAGTATAGTTGATTTACAATGTGTTAGTTTCTGCTGTACAGAATCAGGTGTATATATATATATATATACACACACACACACGTATATATGCGTATATATATGTGTATATATATATCTCTCCATTCTTCCTAGGTTGCTTTCCCAATAGGCCATTACAGTGTGTTGAGTAGAATTCCCTGTGCTATACAGTTGCTTCTTTAGTTATCTGGTTTCTATGTAGTAATATGTATATGTCAGTCCCAGTCTCCCAATTTATTCCTCTCCACCCCTTTCCCCTTTGGAAACCATAAATTTGTTTTCTACATCTGTCAATCTATTTCTGTTTCATAAATAAGTTCATTTGTATTGGGTTGGCCAAAAAGTCCATTCTAGTTTTTCCATATGATGTAATGGAAAAACCTCAATAAACTTTTTGGCTAACCCAGTAACACTGGTTTTTTTTTTAATATTCCACATATGAGTGGTAACATAATGATATTTGTCTTTTGTGTTTGACTTCACACAGTATGACAATCTCTAGGTCCATCTGTGTCCTTGCAGATGGCATTATCTTGTTCTTTTTTATGGTTGAGTAATATTCCATTGTATATACATACATACCATATCTTCTTTATTTATTCATTCATCCATCAGTGGACATTTAGGTTGCTTCCATGCCCTGGCTGTTGTAAATAATGTTGCAATGAATATTAGGGTGTATGTAACTTTTTGAATTATGCTTTTCTCCCGATACATGCCCAGGAGTGGAATGGCTGGATCATATGATAACTCTGTCTTTAGTGTTTTAAAGAACATGCATACTGATCTCCATAGCGGCTGTACCAATTTACATTCCCACCAGCAGTGTAGAAGGGTTCCCTTTCTCTACACTCTCTATAGCATTTATTGTTTGTAGACTTCTTTGATGATGGCTATTCTGATTGATGTGATACCTCATTGTAGTTTTGATTTGCATTTCTCTAATAATTAGTGATGTTGAGCATCTTTTCATGTGCCTCTTGGTCATCTGCATGTCTTCTTTGGAGAAATGCCTATTTAGATCTTCCACCCATTTTTTGATTGGGTTGTTTGTTTTTTTGACATTGAGCTGCATAAGCTGTTTGTGTATTTTGGAAATTAATCCCTTGTTGGTCACTTTGTTTGCAAATATTCTCTCCCATCCTGTGGATTGTCTTTTCGTTTTGTTCATAGTTTTCTTTGTTGTGCAAAAGCTTTAAGTTTAATTAGGTTCCATTGGTTTATTTTTATTTTTATTTTCATTACTCTAGGAAGTGGATCAAAAAAGATCTTGCTGCAATTTATGTCAGAGAGTATTCTACAAATTGATTAAATGCCCCAGCCGAAAGACATAAACTAGCTGAATGGATTGAATTTTACTTTTTAATGAAAAAGTTAAAAAGGAAAGTGTCTGGTTCAAAGATTTGTTCTTAAATAACCATCAAAAAGTGTACATGTCTTATAAGAAGATTCCTTTATCCCAAGTCATTTTGTAATCATTCCAAGTTATTTTGTAATCATTCCAAGGGGGCTTAACAGAAAAATCAGACTTAATCCTCTTTTCTAGAATATATTTTTAGGTTACTGAAATCACCTATAAATAAATGCATCTTTATTTCAAAAAGTCTTCCTGGAAGAAATCAGACTTAATTAACCCTTTTTCTCCTTCACAGACTACCTTGCAAGTTCTTAAAGCTAATAGATTACAAGGTTAAACAATCTTGCCAACTTTTTAATAAAATGAGCTTTTCATTTTTTTTTTTTTTTTGTATTTTGCTGTCTACACTCAATCCCCCACTCCCCGCCCCGTCCTGCCTCCCATCCCACCCTTTATAGAATATGATCATCATCAGGAGTTTTTAGCTTTTCTGTCAGGGTTCTTCTAACTTTTTTATGGCCATTATAGCCATTGGTCATCTACCAGAACACTAATAATTCATTTTTTCCCTTCTGTATGTTAGCCACTGGACACTGTAACACTCATGTGTCCTGAAGCCACAGTTATTTCACACGGTGGCTGTGAAGGGGGCACAGTGATTCTCGCCTTCACTTCTCTTTCACTTTTGTCTTTCTCATGCAGCAGCGGCCGTTGAGTCAGCAGACCGAAGTCCTCGGCCCACCTCTGCACCAGCCATTGCTCCGAGTCAAGCCGCAGAGGGCACTGTCCCAGCTGCACCTGTCAAGAAAGCACAGAAGGAAACAGTGCAGGTTGAAGTGAAAAAGGAAGAGGCACCACCTGAGGATGCTGAGCCAGAGCCCACAGAAGCATGGAAGGTATGTCGTAAGCCCAGAGGTCCAGCTCACTCACTTTCTGATTCAGAGGTGTTGACTCCTTGACCAGGAGGGTTCTCAAAGCACTGGTTTTTGTTAAATCCTAACAAAGTTATTTCTTCCTCACTCTTTCTGAAAGAAGGTAGCTCCCTGTAAACCTGTAAAATATTTTCAAAGAATTATGTCATGAAGGCTGTAAGCTGTCCCAGATGTTTTCAGGTGACACACAGCTTTACCCAACTTAAATTTTAAAAACTGAGTCTGTAAAACACACCAGCACTGTGATCATCTGCTTTTAAAAATAATTTTTACTCATCCAGAAGGAATCTCCACATTCCTTTCTAAGAGTAAGCTCAGCTAGTATGATTAAAATATAATTTGATTTCCTAAAATGAATATATGTGTAACGTGCCCAAAGAATATCCAGATATTATATGAAGCACATATATGTGGTTGTTCAAATCTTAAGTAACTTTATAAAAAGAAGATCCATTATGTAAGGAAAGTTATGCTACTGAGTTGTTTATAGTTCTGAGTTGATTGTACCACAGTCACTGAACTTTGTTGAAAAATCACAAGTTTCATTAGTAGATTTCCCAGAAGTAACTGTACCTGAACTCATCTTTTATATGTTGATGAGCTTTTAAAAATACATTTAAGCAGCGATAGAGTTGTGGTGTCAGTTTAGATTTATTAAAGTAAATACAAGTCTCACTGTTGACTACAGAAATTAATAGAAGTGATCTTTATAAGAAAAGCTACGTTTTTATATGTCTGTTAAGAAATGTAAAACTGTGTAAGACCTTAGTAAGTGCTGTCACCTTGGCAGATAGATTAATTCTGTTCTTTTGGAGCCAGTTCAATATCTAGTTTATCTATAAAGTGTGGCCAATCTGGCTCTGTTTTGATTGTATTAAAAAAGTATTCGGTGTGACATAGTTCTCACTGTCCTTTGAGACCAACTTGAGTCCAGAGGTAGGGGGAGATTGAATGAATGGTAACTGTTTGCATTTTTCTATCTAGCCAGATGTGCTTGCCATTGGCCACAAGGTTCCGCATCAACAGTGCCTTTTTGATGCTAGACTACTTCAGTTTTTAATGTTAGGGTAGCTCACCTGGCACTTTGACCATCTTTTCATTTATATTGCTAACTGAAAATGTTGAATTACTGGAAGTGGCAAGGGAATCTTTCTGGTGGCTAAGATTCCTTTGGCTTTGTGCTAACTTCCTTGTTCTTTCACCTATCTGGCAGACACAAGTATTTTCATGAATAGGTTCCCTTTGCTTTTGGGACCTCAGCAGAGTGGAGAGATCACTTCCTGTTATATGCTCACCATTTAGGTGCCAGTAGGGGGCCTTCTTGCTGGTTAATTCTATATAAATACATTTTGAGACACTTGTATTGAGATCAGACTGAAAGCCACTTCTGATAACCTTCTATTACTGTACTAATAGTGACAGAGCTAACAGTGACTTGAGTTAATTTTATTTGTAGCAGTTAGAAACAAATTATGGCATTTGCCTGAAGCTATATTTACTATATAAAGCTGCAGTAGTAATAAAGTAGCCCTGTAATTGTGGAAATCTCATTACCTAACACTAATTTGGTGCCAGATAGAGAGCTTTTTGGCATCTTGAGTCATTTGACAAGACCTATTTTGCAGGTGTGGAGACAGGACCTTCCCTCCTGTGCATGTTTATCTCAGTTAATATTCTCTATAGGAGTATACACAGAACTATTGTTGCTTGGTCTCCATTCTTAAACTGAAGTAGAGGCTCTCAACTTCTTGCTATTGGATTGCTAAGGGCCCAAAGCAAGAAGTCATTATTCATTTAAACAAGTAATTTAAGCTTTACCAAATAATTCAAAACTTCCATTTGCTAAGCATTCACAACTCTATGAAGATATTATCTCCATTCTATCAATAAAAAACTTGAAACTCAGAGAGGTGAAATGACTTGTGAACAGCCACACAGCAAGTCTACTGGGATTCAGAGCAGAAGTAACCCAAATTGTTTCTTACCTCAGCAGTTAAAAGGGCTGTAGCCAGATGTGCTTATGATTTGACAGTGTCACAAAGTTTGGTGTCGTCTTATGTTCCTTATATTCTGTCCCAGAGAAAACAGCACAATGACATTATATTCTGAGGTAAGGCTGCCAAATGTGATCAAGAAGAAGATGTCAAGGAAATTCCCTGACCGTCCAGCGGTTAGGACTCTGCGCTTTCACTGCTGAGGGCCCAGGGTTCCATCCCTGGTTGGGGAACTAGGATCCAGCAAGCTGCTTGGAAGCCAAAAAAAAAAGAATATGTCAAAACTACAAATTAATGAAGTTCTGTGAAGTACGTAAAGATACAAAGTGATTGATTTGACCCTTAATAAAAACATTTTTCTCATTTTGATATATCCAGTGCTTTAGGCATTGCTTACTATTATTATGCTTTCTCTTAACAATCTTGTGTTTTAAATTTATGCTTACTCTACTTGGGGCATATAAAATGACCGCTACTAAAGGTATTTCAAAGCTAAGCAGGAGGCATTAGTTACTATCTTCCTACTACTAAGGATGAATCTTTCACATCCACCGAACACATGGGCTCCCGCTCCCTGGAGAGGAGAGTACAGTGTGTTGAATGTTGCAGCTGAGCCCTGTGTGTGCTTATTTATAAATCTGCCTTGGAAGTAACTGCATGCATCAGTAACATTTGCATTGAGTTTATTTTGATATGTTGTTGTCTAATAAACTCAAGGGTTAAACTGCTTCCTTAAGTAGATTGATCAACTAACAGAACTTTTTGTATTTACCTGTTTGGTGTCATATGTGATTTATTTTATGTGTGCTTTAAGTGTAAAGATTTTCTTTTTGTTTCTGTCATGTATGTCACACATGGGTATCTTCATTTGTATGTTTGTTTTTAACTGTCATTTAAAATACTTCTACATTTTTTGAAAAGGAAAACATGACTTTTTAAAGCCTAAGTTATTATTTTTAGTAAGTATTTTTTAAGAAACAAATAGAAACATGTGTTCTTCATCAATAGAATAATTACCTTAATATTTTTTTTTTTGATCCTTTGGCTGTCCATATTACCTCCTCAGCCTTGAGAATGTGATGGTGAACTGACAGATTGCTGTTGGGAGCAGCGTCCTTCCCTGTAACACCCCATGTATGATTGCATCATTATGATTACTTATCAGTTTATTTCACAACCACCTAAAGATGTGGCTGTTTTGGAAATAATGCCATTCATAGAAACCTACTAACCTGAAATGTTTTTACCACTTTATTTCTTAAATGTAGGTGGAAAAAACCCACATCGAGGTCACAATACCCACCCCAAATGGTGACCAAACACAGGTTTGTGCCAGCAGACCACTTGTTCCTTTTTCCCTCCCTCCCTAATTTTTTCTTCTCCCGTCTCCCCTGCTCCTTAAAAAAAAATATATATATATATATATATATAAAATGAAGGTTCAAACAAACTTCAATGAGTCAATATTTTATCATTTTTCTTTTTTTTTTTTCTAATAATGGCAAAACAGAAGCTTGCAGAAAAACCTGAAGATCTGATAAGAATGAGGAAGGTTAGCCATTTTTCACTTTCACAATATCATATTACCATCACCCCTGCTGACTTTCATATTGCATTAAAAAGACAGTGATCCATTCTTTTCATTGATTTCTCTTAAGCTGGGAGTACTTTCAAGTAGCAGATGTATACACACACACACACACACATATACACACAAATGTATATATATATACACATATGTATACTAAAGAAATTATAATCCTGTACTATATATTGAAAATAATCATTAAAATAAACTTTTTCAGTGTGAAAACACCTTCTTAAACACAGTGAAATAATAGTGAAGGCCAAATCTATCCTTTAAACTATAGAAATATTTCACAGTGGCACCATATGCTTGAAATCAACAATATGCACTCAGTATTTATGCTCAATGGACTTGAGTTTGAGCAAACTCTGGGGGTTTGTGAAGGACGGGGAAGCCTGGTGTGCTTCTGTCTATGGGATCATAAAGAGTCAGACATGACTTAGCAACTAAACAACAACATTATGGAAACCATCATAGCAACAACTCCTGGTGTTGCTAATAATTATGGGTTTGGCTGTTCTGTGTCTCACTCTTCTCAGCCAGGGAGTGGGATGAGTGTTTTTACTGAATAGAATATTGACTGACTCTGTATAAAATGTCCTTAGATCTTTATTATGGAAGGTATTAGAGATGTACGTACTGCAGTATTACTAAATATGAAATAATGTCAAAAAGCTAAATAATCATTTTCTTACTTCATGGAACACAGAGATTCAAGACTTCTTAAAAGTCATGTGTTTTAAGATAACCCTCAAATAGCTTAGCTTCAAAAAGGAGCATAAAACAGCTTGTTATGTAAGAAGCCAATGAAGCCAGGAGCACTGTCTGTTTAAATAACATCATCGCATTCTCCCCATCATTCATGAACAAGGCCATCCATTTTCTGCTGGTAATTGTGTCCTCTGTGTGTCCTTGTGGTTCTGTAACCATTTCATGTTGGCATATGCTTCGCTGTGGACATTTAATTTTAAATATTTTTTTGGTTTGCCAATTTGCAGTTTTTTCCCGCAAGAACAACATTTTAATTTTTTATGCTTTTCTGTTTTTCCCTCTTTCATTTTCACAGAAAAAGAGAGAGAGACTAGATGGTGAAAACATTTATATCAGACATAGCAATTTAATGTTGGAGGTTTGTATGAACTTGAAGCTTATTTCAGTTGGTTGCCTGTAACCTGCATTCTTCGCTGATCCCCTTTCTTCTTTCTGGGCTGCGTTTGGTTTTGCATGCTATTGCATGAGAGAACTTTAGGTTTAAGATGCTTTTGCATGTTGGTAAACATAAAGATATGCAACCATCTCTACTTCTGAATCTTTAGTTTCCATTTCTCATACTTATCCGAAAATATATGATTGGGACTACCTCTCTGCATCCCATGGTTCCATTGTTTTACCCACTTTTAGAAAGAACAGTATCACTGTTTAAAAGTTTCTTGAATTGTCCAAGAGTATAAATTCCCATGTGTCTCAAGCATCAAATTTATATGGTTTTTTAATCTTCTGAACCTAGAGAGTGTGGAAAAGTATGATCACAATTCAAAATGGACTTGTGAAAATGACAAAAGAATAGTCAGGGGGAGAAAAGTAAAATACAGGAAGAAAAGAATGGAGGCTGGCATTTAATGAGTAGTTCATATGATATAAGATAGTTTAATTATAAAACAAGTCTGAAAGTGAAAGTCGCTCAGTCATGTCCAACTCTTTGCAACCCTATGGACTGTACAGTCCATGGAATTCTCTAGGCCAGAATACTGGAGTGGATAGCCTTTCCCTTCTCCAGGGCATCTTCCCAACCCAGAGATCGAACCCAGGTCTCCTGCATTGCAGGCGGATTCTTTACCAGTTGAGCCACAAAGAGAGCCCAAAACAAGTCTATGGGTATGGAATTTTTATTTTAAAGAGAAAATTGAAGCTTAGAGAAATTCAGTAATTTCTTTGTGGTTATAGACTAATAAATCAGTAAAGCTCAGATTTGTGTTAGGATCCATCTAATTATTAAACTACACTTTTCTCCCATTCAGAAATAGCAACATAATATCTGCTATAGGAATTGTAAGGTCATTATACTCAATATTGATCAGATTTTCACCAAGCTTATATTAGTATACTTTATCTAGTTTCAGACTCCACACTGGATAAGGAAATATAAAACTAACTAGAAGATTAGAGGAACTCTATGAGGAAAAATGAAGGAAATTGGAGTGATTCTATGAAAAAACAGATCATGTTTACACATCAGAAACTCTTCTCTGATGACCTAATTATGACTCCACTCAAGACAAAACCAAAAGAAACAAATATAAATTCTGACATCATGGATTTAACTCAAGTACAAAGGAAATAAAACTGTGTGGGAAGATGATAAATGGTTCTTGCCTTCAGGAAGCATACAATGTAGGGACAAGTGGAAGGGAGAAACAGTGAATAAGTAAACTGATAAAATGATTACAAGTTATTATAAAAGCTGTGAAGGAAATAGACAGTATGGTATGCTAATAAAAAGGATCTGCTCCAAATAAGGTGGACAGGGACGTTGTCTCTGATGAGGTAATGCTTTGCTGAGACCTCAAAGATGAACATATGTAACGGTAAGTATTATTAAAGTGGAAGTTTGAAGAAATTTTTTTAGATAGAACTCAGCCTCCAGGAATTAGTTAACCTCATCTTATTCTTTATCAATACATATATTTTGAGTGCCTGATAGGTATAAAATACTTTGATAAAAATAAACTATGGCCAGTTTTCATTAACCATGTACTGCGTGGTGGGCACAATACCAAGTGCTTTATATATGTTTTCCTCATGTAACATGAAATTTTCTTAGGCTGCACCCTAGGACATTTTAAACTTGGTATCTAGATCTCTTTGCTTTAGCATGTAAATGAAACTAGGCCTGAATGGTTCCACTTCTGAGATTAGGAAGAATAACAGATGTCAGTTGATCTCCTTAGCCTCAAGCAGTGTAACGTCTCCCAATTCCAAACATGCCTGTTTCTTGGCTTGCCTGTCTTTGATTTCTCCTAACTGGAACCTGCAGTACCAATCATATATTTGTCCTTTGTTCCATGAGGTGTGTTATGGCTTCTGAGACTCACAAAGTCCCTGTGTGTGATGTGTTTTTCCCAGCATTTCATTGACAGCCGTGAGAGGGGATTTCTAAACAAGTGTGTGTTTGAAACTTAAAGCTACTAACCAGCTTTTCAGAATATTTTCTATTTAATGACGTGTTTGGTTTGATTGCTGCTAAAGTTATAGGATGATAGGCATCAAAAGGTGTCTCACCTGAAAACAGCCCAAATAGTTTGGCTAACCATCATTCTCTATATTGTAAAAGGTCCCCCGCAACCCCCCCCCCCCACTTAAGGAAATTCTCTCAAGTTATCTGTCATACTAGCAGATTTTTACAAGTATTCTCTCCTCCCCCTACTCCTACCCCACCCCCACTAATGCTTTGTTCTGGCACAAATAAGGTCGAGTTCATTTTTAGATCTGCCGCCGCCTCCTCCATCTCCCAAAGAGAACCTGTAGCAAGTGTCTATGACAATTTCTATTTGGAACAGGTCCCTTTGAAATCTTAATTTTCCTCTGTGCCCCCACAGGTTTCCAACAGAGCCAGCTAAAAAGGTTGGAGAAAGCTCCCTCAGAAGCTACTGATTTTATTGAAACATTTATTTTCTCAGATTCCAAGCCAAACAAAATCTAAGCAGGCCAAGTAACAAATCACCAGTCTCTCATAAGTAAGAGGCTAATAACCCAGAGAGTTGTGGTTTTATCATAGCATCTCTTGATCATTTTTGTTTTGCTCCATTCCCACCCTTAGCCCTCCCAAATCTGTTTAGTTGTTCTTGGCCCGAGCAGATTTGATTTTTGTCCGAAGCTAGGTCAAGAGCCATACATGTCTGGTGGGTCTCAGTTGTTCAGCCAACTACGGAGTTGTTGACAGAGCTTGTTCCTGCTTTTCTTTAGCTAGTAAACATGATTTTCTTGCTTTCAGCTAGAACAAAAGTGCAAACTGTGGTTTCCCATTGGTGACGCCCATTTCATGAGCTACACTCACATGTCACCCAGCAGGCAATGGGGGAGCTACAGGATTGCCCTTTTGGGGTTAGTTTTCTCTTTGATCTCAGATCACATAAACCTCTTTCAGTCTTGCAAAAATAAATAGACTACTAAATGAATTTTCTGAATGAATATCTCCTGAATCAAAATTGTGTCATATGCCTCACTGATTCTTTTTCTTATACTGTATTCTCTTTGACATTGCTTTTGAAGAAAATTTATTTAATTGAAGCCTCTATTGCCCCATGAGAAACTTTTTAAGCAAATTTTTGTTTAAACAAGTTCCTTCCCCACCCCCACCCCCACCCCCCACCAAATGAGGCTGTTCCCATGGAGCCAAAAAAAAAAAAAAGACTAATCCTCAAAATTCACAGAGCATATTAAGAGATATATTTAGTATTATGCTTTTCTTGGATACAGAACTGCCTTGATATATAATAAACACAGAATTTTTAGCAGTCATCAAGTGACAGGCTCCCACATGTTTTGATTTCAAGCACAGATCTTTTGAGTTTTTTTGAAGAAATATGTTGGACAAAGAACATTTGAGTTTTTGTCTTCACATTGTATTTTCCAGATTATTTCTGGCTTAGTCTCTCTTTTGAAAGTTGGTTTCTGCCTCCTGTTACATAAACTTGAATGCTATTTATCATTTCTAGCTTTATTTGTCCAGTTTTGATCATTTCTCCTTGGAATATCCCCCATGAGAGTTTTTCCCTAGTTGTCCGGTAGTCACATCTGCCTGAATAGTTATTTTAAGTTGTCAGTGAGACATAATAAGGTATTTGACAAGTTCTTATTAAATTGCTCCCCATCCATTGACAGTTACTAGAAGACAGTTCCTATTTTAAATGGTACTAAGGGATGAAGTGAAACTGTCAGAAGGTAGAAAACATAAGTGTGTTTTAGTGTGTGTGGATACTAAAGACAAAGAAAAAAATTCCATTATACTGTATACCCCTGAGTAATTACTCAGAGATAATAACAATCTGCTCTGGAGGCTTGAGCCAGGAATCTCAATAATACATTTTTGTGTCAAGAAGGGGTTATTCCTGTTTACCGAAACCCAACAACAGCCACCCAGTAATAAGAAAGCAAAACTCTCTCCAGGTAGAGATAGAGGGATACTGTGCAGTTGCAGTTCATTAAGGCAAGGCAGCCAGTGGTGGGAGCCAAATCTTTCACCATGTCCTTCCTGTTACAGTTTCTCCTTATCTATTGCTATCTCCACCCTGCCTGAGCTGAGCCTTAATCAGTTCCTATCAAGATGAGGCTGATTGGGCTGTAGGATTACCTGCTTGGAATGAGGAGCTGGAGATCCAGAGCTGTGACGTGATGGGAAGAAGAGTTGTAACATTCAGAACTGAGCTCTTATGGGTTCTATAACTGCTGAGAGCTAGAGGGTGATGATGCTTTACTGCTTCCAAGAAAAGCACCATGTTAAAAAAAAAAGACAAGAAAATATACCATATTGTATATTTACAATTTGAATGCAATTTATGGATTAATAACATCTATCCTGGATGTGGAGTATTTTCTACCAGTGCCCATAGTATTCTATGGGCTTCCATTGGTGTGGTCTTTTCCCTGGGTATTCATTATTTTGCATCTTTGTCCTTTCAACTATAGGATTTAGACAAAAGTCAAGAAGAGATCAAAAAACATCATGCCAGCATCAGTGAGCTGAAAAAGAACTTCATGGAATCTGTACCAGAACCCCGGCCTAGTGAATGGGATAAACGCTTATCCACTCACTCTCCTTTTCGAACACTTAACATCAATGGGCAAATCCCTACAGGAGAAGGAGTGAGTACTTTGTCTGTGTGATGAATTGTGAGAATGAGTGAAATAAATGCTTTTGTATATTGATAATCTGTATCTGAAAGTTTAGAGCTGAAATTTAGCTTTGGTGTCTCATGTGTTCATTCCAGCTTTAAAGCATTCGTAATCAGACACTTACTTTTTAAGTCACATGGACCACCCAGTCCAGTTATGGGAGCCATTTAGAGCGACCAGTCGATGATTCGGCCCTGAGAACTGTCTTTGCAGCTGCATGCTTCTGGCTAGTGTATGTTTACAAATTGACCATAAGCCAGTAGAACTTTATGTCCAAACTGTGCCTTCAAGGACCAGAGACTTTACTAAATTTAGTAAGATCAAAATTGGAAAGGGATAAGCATTTTTTAAAAACTTTGTTTGAACAATTGCACAACTTAGAAATGTCTGGAATGGTTGACCACAATTATATAATAAACTGAGGCGGCCTCTAAGCCAGAAAATGGAGAATACCAAGTCTTAATGATTGTATTTCAGTTTTAGAAGAACTATTGATGATTTATTTTATGAGTAACATCAAATTTAATATGCTATTTTTTTTTTGAGATAGTCACAGTTAGAGGTGGTGATACCTTTTAGAGGCTGTCCTTTTTCTATTGTTGTCATTCCCTATTTTAGAAATCCTACACCTGAATAAATGAATCTGTGTAATGAGAACATACTGAGAGTTACTTTGAGCACATATTAAAAAATCCTTTACTTAATCTTTACCCTGTACAGGTTAAATACGTATGTGTGTATATGTATATATATAGTCATAGTCACAGTGTAATGACTTTAAAATTATATGCTTATTTTCCCTGAAAATAATAGCAGTTCTATTTAAGAAAGGTAAAGTGATATCTTAATAATTTTTCAAAATTTAGTTTTTATATTCAGAGTTCATGGTAAACTATCCCAACTTACTGTTTAGTTTCTGGAACTGGAGAAGATAGTAAAGGTTTGTTCACAAAGGATACATTTTATATTTTTCAAAATGTGATTAAAATTGGCTAACAGCTCTCCAAATAGAGTTGAACCCACTTCACTAAGAAGGCTGGAGAATTCCTGAATGATGGGCAGTGAAAAAATTACCAGGGATGATAGGATGCAGTTTTTCCTATTCTCTGTCCTCTCAGCCTCCACTCCCTGGTCCTTAGTTCCGTATCCCAAATCTGGAGCACGTGCCCTGGGGCATGAGACAGTGAGCACCTTCTATAAGCCCATGACCTCATGAGAAAGCACTTGTTGCTACCTCACCTGGCTAACCCTGCAACCCATAACTGCATATTTTCTAAATATGTTTTCTTTTTGACTCATTGCAGGTAATAAAAGATACTCAAATACTTTGAAAAAGTAACTTAGTACCCTCTTGGATGAGGTTTGGTAAATTCAAACCAGTCTCCGTTTCCAGAAAATAATCTTATGTCTTAATAGAAACCCTTCAGAAACCATCTCAGGGCTGGTTTAGGGAATATCTGTTTCATTCTGTGGATTTTGAAGAAATGACTTTTACAAATTAAATTAGATCAATATGGAGTCCTTTAGCTCTAGGGTTATGGTATTACCCCTCTAAATGAATAATGTAATAAATTAGAACTATACTGTGATAACCTTTTATATAGGTTAATTCCACTTTCTGGCATATCTTACTTTTTCTTTGATAATTAGGGCAGTATTTCTGTTCTCTGGGGATACCTCTTCCACCTTTGACAGCATTGTTGTTGCATTGCAAGGCAACTGAATTTTATATAATTTGTGTGTGACCAGGTGAAGAAAACCTCTGTCCTTCCCTCGGAAAGAAAGGTTGGTGGGCCAGAGGTAAAGCTGCTGTTATGACTTGTGCTTCTCAACCAAAATTTGCTCTTGTCATGGCACTAAGCAGAGAATCCCCCCAAAACTGGACAGCAGCTGCTCAATGATTTTTTTTTTTCTTTTGGCTATACTAGTAGATTCATATCCACCGCCTTTGGACCTAACACATATAACATTTTCACTGCTGCATTTTGCAGCTTTCAATTTGCTTATTTCGGCGCATGGCTGGTTGAAAAGCTGCATGAAGATGTAAATATGTATTCAGAGAGAAAAACGAATTTAATTGTACCCTATTCTTTTTATGTTGTCTTTCTTCTCCCTCTTATGTTCTTTTAAAAATCATTATAATTTTGCATCCTTTATTTTCCTTTTCTTCCTTTTTTTGCTGACCAGTCCCCCAGCTACTTTCTCCCTGATACATATCACTTAGGGGTGTGCAAAGAACCAGTGTCGAACTTCCGAACAGATCAGAGAAGGCTGGCTCAACTGAGAGAACTTAGAGCCAAGTTTTTCCTTTCATAGAAAACATCTGTCTTGACTGGATGGCAGAGTACAGGAATTGCTGGGGGAGAAAAATTTCTCAATTGGGAAAAAATAATTTTCCTTAAAAGTATCAAAAACATTTGCTTAATGTGATGTATAAACCTTTGTGATGGTCCTTATTATTATTTTAAATCATGATTCTGAGTGGGTGGGGAGGGAGTTTGTAACTATTGAGATTTGTGAGGGTTTGGGTTAGGGTTTTTTTCCTGGTAGATCTTGGAGGCTCATATAAACTTTTATACTTTTGTTTTTCTTTTGCAATCTTTGAAATGTATAGGATTAAGATTTTTATTCCCTTGAGCAAAAGTTAATTGCCATACTGAATGAACTATTGCAGTTTTTTTAAGCCTATATGAAGAGATATGAGGATAACATTTTATATTCTGCCATTCTATTTGTAATAAAAGTAACTTTTCTGATGGCAAGAAGAATGCTTCATTATTAATTTGTCCAATTAATCTAAGAAAAATTGGCAGCACCAAAGCAATGAAAAATGACCGAAAATTTGTGTGACTATCCTTAAAAGAGGAATAAATACTGTAACTAATGAAGTCCAGTGATTCCTTGAACTTTGAGGACTTCTGATCTTCATTCATTCACTCAGAAAATTACCTATTGAGTACCCTACTGTGTTATAGAAACTTTGCTAGGATAATTGCCAAAGCAAAGTAAAATACAGTGTCCAAAAGATCTTCCCAAATCCTTTGCACATCCCCAAGTATCATTTTTGAGCATTTTCCATCTGTCATTTTGTTCATCTTTCTCTGTCTTTCTTGATCTTCTACCGTGAAAGCAGACACAGGAACGTGCTCTGTTAGTGCAGGACGAAGAGAAAATTAAAAGGCAAGAGAGATCCACTGAAAGAGCCTTGCCCCAGCAAGAAAACGAAGAAACTCTTCCCGAGGTTTCTATTCCAATCCCCGAGGATCACAAGTTTCTCAAAAAGTGCCGCCTCTCCTCTAGTACTTTTTCTTCTCCTCGTATTCCTTTCGTGATGTCTTTTCTCGTGGTTCTTGCATTGGCTGTCTGGTGGTTGGTCTTTCTGTGATCGGAAAACAGGGGGCTCGTCTGAAATGTCAAGACTAAAACCATTGAACTTTGTCTGGCTTCTACTGTGTTACCTCCTGTGTGTTACCCTCTGATCTGGATAGTTCCTGTCCCAGGGGTGCGCTTGTGGTCATGTTCTGTCAATACAATGTTACTCTTTGTAGACAGTAAATCATGGGGTACAAAGGAGCAGCCATGGATTGCCAAAGCCAGTTTTCCTCACCAAAGTTTAACAAGTTTAGGCAAATTGGATTTAAGCATGCGGCAGGTTGGTACTTCCCCCAGAAGCGTTCACTCTTTTATCCTGCATGTTCTTATTGTTTACTATTGCTCTGTACTCCTCTCCAGTGCTTCTCACAAAGCAGGGAATCCTGTAGACAAGTTTGATGGAGTGTCTTCCTAATCCTTGATAGTTACTTGTGTGGCATGGGCTTTGTAGTTTAAGAAAAAATTCAACTTGCTAACCTTTCCAAAGCCTTAAAATGCTACATTTTAATCTATGAATCCATAACCACTCCTTTTCTTGAGATATCAAGCCAGTACATACAAAAGCCTTTTTCAAAAAAGGGCTTTTGACTTCGTGGCCTTCTTATGTATGTTTCTGAGGTGTACAAACAACTCTTATCCTGCCCAGTGTACAGAAGAGGTCTGCAAAAGTTAAATGCATTTTCCACAAATGTAATGTTGATGGTGTAAGGAAAACGGTGCTGGTGCCTTTAACCTCCAGCCAGGGCTGAATTTTCCAGACTACTCTGCCCATCTTCAAAAATCCTGGAATAACAAATTTCTTGAAGATCTGGACATACACATACCCTTCTCTGAATTAGAATACTGTGTTACTTCTTTATTGAATTAAGTAATTATATTGCTAAAAGCAATATTTAGCCATTATGATAAGGTTAAAGTATATATTGATCTATTTTGTTTTTCTGATAGATTTCAGACCTGTTTATTCTTACATGTGCGTTGAAATCAATTGTCTTTAATCCATGGTCTTGTGAACTAAGGCTCTGTTGTGACAAGTACGTGTCTTCTGTTTGCATGTTGATTTTTAAGGCTTCCCTGAAGTAAATATGCGTGTGCTCTCTCTTCATAACCCAACTCAGATGTCTAACCTGTTTTTCTCCCCTCAGTATTAATGAAATCTTGCATGTAGCCTGCTTTTTATGGCACTTGAATGTACCAATATGGATGATTTGGTTAATGTTGTCTCAAATATTTTGTTTTGAAATCTGAGTTCACAGAGTTGTCAAACTGAGATTATTGCACTTTACTTCTCAATACTTTCCAGCTGATGAAACTTCTAAACAAGACTTTTTAAGGTGGTAGCTTCTTAGAGTTAAAAAAAAAAAAGAGAACAGTAGAGCCAAGACTCTTGTCCTTTAATACCCACCACTGTTATTCTATTTTTTTCTGGAGATGTGTAGAAATAATACTCTGGCATTTACTGAAAACTGTGACTAGGTTATTATAGGCTCTCCAAAAAGATGGGAAAGAAGTGAGAAGCACGTTAAAATTTAAAATCTGGTATAAGTGTATATCTTTCATGTCTGTTTATAAGAAATATTTTGTAATTAGGCATATTT